CCCACCAGATTGAAAGAACCTTTTGCCCATGAAGTTCCCTTCTCGGCTGTGGCTGGGACCCTTCCCCTTTACCAAGCCACTGTCTACGACGCTTAACATTTCGAAAAAAGATCCATTTTTCGTCGCCAGTCACAAGTCTATGCAAAAAAGGTGAAACAAGTTGGCGAGAATGGAGAGAAGAGCAGATGTCAACTCGGGATTTGAGGTTGTTTTCAGACAATTCGCGAGGCACCCATTTTCCAAGTTTAGGAACTTTTCCAAGTTGTTGAAGATGACGATGAACAGGTGTATGGTTTGAACTGAGAACCACTGCCAATTCCTCAACTGATAAAGCAGGATTTTCTTCAAGGGCTGCTTCAAAAAGCTTTTCATCAAAGTCAACTGGACGTCCGGTTCGATCTTCATCTTCAAGGGTGAAATCTCCACCTCTGAATTTTGCAAACCATCTTCTGCAAGTTCTTTCATTCACACATTCCTGTCCATAAACTGAGTGAAGGTTTCTAGCCGCTTCGGCTGCTGAGTTTCCTTTCTTTAACTCATAAAGAATTATGTGCCTCAAATGATTCTTGGGTACTTCCATGTTAGCAGGGTTTTAATCAAACAAAATTTAATTTTATTGTTCTCTGAAATAAAATTTGATCAGTTTAAATGCATCTAAACACAAAAATAATGTTCAGCTCCATTAGACATTATAAAATACTCTTTAAATTTCGTTCATTTTTAACAAAAAGTTAAAATTCGGACAGAACTTATGGGATGACCTGATAGTTTTAGTAGCACAAGTTTTACTAATTAACCCATAGCTCGGTGTGAATAGATGGATTTATACCTCTACTATGGGTGGAAGTGAATATGACTAACTTAACTAGAATCGGAACTCGGCTCTACGATTAACAATTCCGAGCCATTATCCATTTCACCACCCGCTCATCGAAGCTTACAGCAGCTAGTATTCCTAAGTGGTCATCCATGTTGGTACTAACTAGGCTCGACGTTGCTTAACTTTGGTGATTGTAAGGACAGGTGTTTCATTGTGATGCGGCCGTAAGCCAGATGAAACCGACACTTGATGCAAATTATACAGGAGGATGCTGAGAATGCTATCGAATGAAAATGCGATCCACAAAGAAGAGTTAAGGAAAATGGGGACAAAAAAAAAGAATTTGTACTGGGAATCAGAAAGAGATAACTGGAATTTTTAGGATGAATAATGAGGAAAGAAGGAGAAATTGACACTCACAGGACCCGGTGAAGGCAAGAGAAGCAGGGGATGGCATCGAGGAATTTACCTAACGATCCCGTTTAAATGGATGGCAGAATAGAGACAGAGGGATAGTAATAGGAGAATAGAGTCACAGAAGATAGGAAGTTGTGGAGAACCATGACCGTAAAAGAACATTAATCTTGGTTATTATAAACATAGGTGACCCGGAGGATTAAAGCGTCGGTTAAATTATATTTATTTTTTTGGCAGTTTTTAAAATACTATTGTTTATCCAATAGAAGGCCCAAGAACTACTCAAGGTAGAGGGTTACCGAATAAGGTTGTGGTAAACTTGTAGAGGAGTTGCATATTATGAGGATCTGCAAAATAGATAACGGTTGATTCTAGACTTGAAGAGGTTAAGATTGTAGTTTTCGGGGTAGTATATATACGGGAGTCTGGAATAGAAGGTCTGAGTGAAGCTTCTTCCTTACTAACAGAATACGGAGGAAACAATGATGTGTCGATTCTGATTACGTGACATTACCAGTCCCATTTGTGAAGGCCCAATCTTGTGGAACTGGGGAATGTCGCTCTCTCGAACATCTACCTTGAAAATAGCGGTACAGTAGCGAGAGGATAGCGAGAACTAAAATGGTTAAAAGGTAACCATTTTAGCTCTCACGAGTCGAGGTGCAACTAAATGTACCGAAACGAAGTTGCATCTTTGTAGTGAGTAAATTGTTTTTTTGACTATATGAAAAAAAATATTATATATATATATATATATATATATATATATATATTACAACCAATAGAATAAGGTTTGTTTGATGAAAAGCTAATACTGCCAAAATACTTGCGGACGTAGCTGTAGACCTACCACGTGTTATTTTGGGATCATTTAGAAAATAACAATAAGTCACTTTACCACTCCCGCAAATTCGAGAAAAAGATTTTCGTGAGGCAGTGTGAAATTTTTTCTAACTAATGAAAACCTTGTATTAAAAAAAGTTCATACCTCTATATGACATTAGATCTCGCATCTCCTTACTAATATAAAAATAGAAGCCTACTGCTTCTCGAGGCTCACAACAATTTTGGACGCAAGTTTGAGTTACACGTCCGTACACAGAATGAAGAGATGACAGCCGGCAGCCACCGACTAAGTCTTTGACTAGGAACTGACAAACACATTTAGCTGGTCGTAAGAACATTTAATTATTTTATAAAACAAACTTCACCGCAAAGAAAATTGAATATTTTATTGCTGTTGTAAATTTATGCACAGAATATATAAATGTTATTTACACTAACTCTCTGCTTTTAATTTTCCTTGAGAAAATAATCTTTTTATGTTTCATTTAAAAAATGTGTTGCTGTTGTTGTTAAATGTTTGGACTAAGATAGCAACCTTGGTAGACGAATTCCAACAGGTTAGAACAAGTGGAACTAAGGAATGGAGTTTGCCTAAACACTTTCCATGGAAATAGTGATAGAGCAGTGATAGAGCTTGTTATGTTTTGTCTGTGAGAAAAGGGGTTGTAGAGTGGAAAACAAGGCCGCGCAAAAGCGTGAAAACGAGGATTGACTAGCTCCAGCCCAGATAGGACAGGAACACTCTATTCTTGCTCTGATATGGTTTAGTTCAATCCATGGATTTGATAGTGCTGATAAACCATTTAGTCTTGTTCAGTGGAAGGAACGCACAAGCGATACAAACGTGAATCGTACTGGCAAGTATGAACTGATAATATCCCCACATTATGGAAATGAAAACAGTCTCCCCCATAAACTGAATAAATTCTGTGTTTACCAATTACGACGGCAGTCACGTGGAAAATGCTATAAAATTTTCCTCCAGAAGAAGAGACTCATTGGAACAGAGATATGATTCTACTGATGAATACTGTGAATAAATTCATCTCCTAAAATATCAGTTAATCTCCAAACTATTTAAAAAGGGAACTACATATTTAAAATAAGAGATTACCACTTCCATGATTCGATCCTGAACCAAGCAAATTAAAAAAAACAAAACAATCTGAGAACTGAGACATCTTTAATTGCCTGGAAACATCAATCAATAATGTCATTAGTTCATTAATTTAGTCAAAGTCTGGTCAGTGAGCTAATTTGTTAATTCTGTTTTCAAGGTTCATTTTATCCGTGTTAAACACTTTAACTGGCTTCATGGTTTCATAACACATTTAACCAGGCAAGGCTAACTTTAATTTGTTCAACTAAAGTTAATTATATCTCAGGGTAATGACTTTTTAACTATTATTTTCTTATTGTGTTTCGAAATTGGAAAATTGAAGTCTTACACTGTCTTTCTTTCTCTTTTCGGGTTAAAAATTCTTCTTTGTCTTTCTTTCTTTAACTCAGCTAATGTTTGCTTTTTTCTCATCATATCATTTTCTTTCTTTATTTCTTTCTTGTTTTCTTTTCTCATCGTATGTTTTTCTGTTTTCTTATCAAAAAAATTTCTTTTTTTTTTCTTTTCTCAGTGAATGTATTTCTATTTTCCCATCATACAATTTTCTTTCTTTTATCTTTTCTCATCGTATGTTTTTGTGTTCATATGCAACCATTTTTCTTTCATTCTTTCTGTCTTTCTTTTCTAGGCGTATGCATTTGTTTTTTCTCATCATACAATTTTCTTTTTTTCTTTGTCCGTTTTTAGGTTCTGCTTCTTTCTTTCTTTCTTTCTTTCTTTCAAAAAAAGCCTTCTCACTAAATTCACTGTTTAATTTCTGAATTTGATCAGTTCACTCTCAGTATATTTTAATCACCCAAAATTTTTTTCAACCTGATGGAATGCTTAGCATTCATCACGTTTCAAATATCAACTTACTCTTCCTTTGCATTGTCATTAAGTAACTCATCGATCATCGAAGCCTTTAAGAGAAACCATTCATAACATACTTGCATTTGAAATCTTTTCCCTTTTGTCCTGAAATTAAAAGAAATTCTCGTCTGCTTAACGCATTCGCCAAACGTTCTCTCCCGAAATCCAAACCCTAACATCCAGAGTATATTTTAAGTTAGCATTGTACAAGTCACATCAACGAAAAGCCAGATAGGTGTAAATAACGAAGAAGAGGGTATTGCGCCAAACGTTTAAAGAAAAAAGAGATTTCATACCTTAAAAACCACCGATCGAATCTCGGATTTTATTTAAACAGGATCGGAAACTGCTATTGACTCCGGGAAAAATGCAACCACTTCAGCAACAAGACAAGCCGCTTTCTTGCTTGAAGCATGAATGGATAGATAGCAAAGTAATTAATAATTTTCTCTTTTTTTCTAACAAGGTTTCTTTCTTTCTTTCTTTCTTTCTTTCTTTCTTTCTTTGTTCTTATCTATCTATCTATCTATCTATCTATCTATCTATCTATCTATCTATCTATCTCAGTATGTTCTTATTTATCTCACTTTCTTTCTTTCTTTTCTTTCTTTCTTTCTTTCATGGCATAAGTCATTTTGACTCACAATTTCATTCGGCCAAGGAGCCAATCATAGCCAATTTGACGATGTCAAGTTATTGACAGCCCTCTTCTCAGATTACCGGCCTTAAAAGCCAGCGATAAAATTTCCTAAGGTCGCGCTGGACTGGAACGATTCCAGGCGTAAGAAATAAAAGCGAATTTCTGTTGGAACGTTACAAGTTATTACGTCGTTGCCATTCAGGTGTGTATCAAAATAAATTCGCACATACGCAAAATAGTAGATGTACGAAAATACGTAAAAAGAAAGAATTAAAGCTAAGTTTTTGTTACTTTTCCCAACAAATATGATTACCATATCTATCTATTTATCTATCTATCTATATATCTATCTATCTATCTATCTATCTATCTATCTGTGCGTCTTACTTATTCCTTTAAAAATACTAACATGTAAACATTTCACGGTTTTCCTATTAGAATTTTCTAATGGATCTTAATTCTTAAGTTAATTATTGAAATATAGTCCTTTCGACTTTTACGTCTATGAAAGAACCGTGTAGATTCCCTTTATTGCATTGTTACATATTTGACATTACAACCATTAACAAAATATTGCAATATCAATCATAATTATGAATGTAGGTCACTGCTTAGAAAAAAGGAAAAGGAAAAGATTGGAAATTGACAAGAACTTCCTCCTTACCAATGGAATATGAAGGAAATTAAGATGATTCAATTGTCTGTATTTGGCATGGCGGGTATTAGATGTAAAGGTCTGAACTACTGGAATTGAGGAATATAGGTCATTTGTATGTTTGTCATGGATATACTGATATGTTCTAGTTCCATATTCCATGTTCATTGGATGTCAGTTATCAGTTAACTCCTGTTAATTCCCCTCTCCAAGTTCTCCATTGCCTTAACCGGGTATTGAACTCACACTCTTTGGGTCCTGTCACTGAATCTAAGCAACACATTTAGTCACTGTGCCATGTGTCCTTGAGGAAATAACTGATAACTGACATCCATTAAGCATGGCACGTGGAACTAGAACAGTCTACCCCAGTGAACGAAATAAAGGGTTCAGTTCGACAATCCAACTACCTGAAGAAGGCCGGAGCGTTGTAATAAATATGGCGACAAAGATGAGGACAATAGTCCGAATAACATAAATAGTGTACATAATACATCATCTTAGAAATATAGACCGATACTGAAAGGCTGAAACGTTGTGATAAATATGGCGACAAAGATGAGGACAATAGTCCGAATAATGTAAATAATGTACATAATACCTCATCTCAGAAATATAGACAGATACTGAAAGGCTGAAACGTTGTAATAAATATGGCGACAAAGATGAGGACAATAGTCCGAATGATGTAAATAATGTACATAATACCTCATCTCAGAAATATAGACAGATACTGAAAGGCCGAAACGTTGTAATAAATATGGCGACAAAGATGAGGACAATAGTCCGAATGATGTAAATAATGTACATAATACCTCATCTCAGAAATATAGACAGATACTGAAAGGCCGAAACGTTGTAATAAATATGGCGACAAAGATGAGGACAATAGTCCGAATAATGTAAATAGTGTACATGATACCTCATCTCAGAAATATAGACAGATACTGAAAGGCCGAAACGTTGTAATAAATATGGCGACAAAGATGAGGACAATAGTCCGAATAATGTAAATAGTGTACATGATACCTCATCTCAGAAATATAGACAGTCCTTTGAATTCAAAACCGTGAAACAACGTCACTGTCTTTTCTAAATAGTCATGGCAATTCATAGATAATAAAGAAAAAGGAGCGAACAAGGCCATCCTGGAACTAAGCAAAAGAGACAGCGAAAAATTTCGTTTGAAACAAACTAATGTGTGCTGAACTGCTATATATCTAGTCTCCAAAGTGCGGTGAATATTGGCTAATTTCTTTAGAGATGAACAATAGTCTGCAAGCGAAAGAGATGTGATTCTACAGATAGATACTAAGAATATCATGGATCTATCATATGAACAATGAGGAAGTTTTACAGAAAATGGGAAGCAATACTTAAATCAGAAAAAGACAGTTGAATTCTTTAGGATAAATAATAAAGTACGTTACAAAGATCTGTTGGGATTGCTCAGCAACCTTGATCTATTTGGGAAGGATATTAGAAGAATCAAGAACCTACTATGGCAGCAAACCGCCTGCACACTAATAGAAAATGAGTTCAGTAGATATACAAAAACAGAAAGGCGTGTAAGACAAGGATTTGTCTTCTCACCGGACTTATTCAATCTATACAGCGAGGCGATTCTGTGTGTACTAGAAGTCCTACCAGGGTTCATTAATTGCGACCAAAATTTTAATAACATAAGATATGCAGATGACACAGTGTTGATAGCAGGCACAGAAAGAAAACTAAAAAAATCTAATACAGATGGTAGTGAATGAAAGCGAGAAAAAAAAAAATTAAACATCAACTCCCAGAAGACAGAATCCATGGTTGCTAGCAAAAGGATGAGGTCAAACTGTAAATTGTAAATCGAAAATGCCAAAATCAAACAAGCGGGGAGATTTAAATATCTGGGAAGTGTTCTTAAAGAGGACAGAAAGTGCGACACTGAAATCCGAAGTCATATAGGGATAGCTAATGATGCATTGCAAAAGCTAAGCAGATTACTAAAAAATCGAAAAAATTGCTAGAAACAAGAAAAAGTGTACTGTTACGTGATATCTGTCCTCCTGTATGTATGAGTGCTTGAAAATCCACCCAAAGATGAAGAAGATGAAGCAACAGAAATGTTGAAGGATGCTGAAGGATACCATGGACCGAATATGTGAGTAATAGCGAAGTTTTAAATAAAATGGAAACAAAAAGGAAACTTATACTTTACATCAGGAAGAGGCAGTTGAAATTTCTGGGGCACGTAATGAGGAAGGAGGGCTTGGAGAATGTGACACTCACAGGACAGCTTGATGACAGAGGAAAACAACGCATAACATACTGAGTAAAGGGATAGCAGTAGAGGGTTTATGAGAAATAGTAGACAACATTTATTATGAGTTACAAGAGACAGGAAGTTGTGGAGAGTCATGATCTCCAACGCCCTGGGAAAACATGGCACATAAAAACCACCCCCCCAAATACCAGGAAGAATGAGGAAAGAGAATTTAGAAAATTTAACACTCACGAATCATTGAATGCATTCATCCATGCATTCAGCATTTCAGTCTCATCTGGTCTGGTGCTTCTGTTATGTATCTACAGATTCTTGACAAAATCCAAAGAAAAACAGCAATTTTATTGGTCCTGACCTGGCATTTGGGTTTTAACCAATTTCCCAACGCCATAATGTAGCTTCGATTTAAAAAATAGTACTAGATTCGTGGCGAGGTCTCATTATTTTACAACTAAATTTGCTACATGTAACCGTAAGTTCTATCTTAACTGTTTCTTCTTACGCACTTCTGGTTTGTGAAACGCTCTTTTGGCTTCCAGTTTTCCAGTCAACTTTGACCTTCAAAAACTTAAATGCAAGGCCAATTTTCATCTGTTGCCTTTTTAATTTCATTTATTTTCCTCACCTCTTAATAATTTTGATCTTTTTACTCATATTATTTTTCACTCAGTAACCCTTTGCGTCTTAGTGGTTTTATTGCTTTACTTTGAGGTGAAATGATTAAGGTAAACAATAACATACCTAATGAGTGTGTGTAAATGGACTCCAAAGCGGGAACAAGGAGGGTTGGCAAAGCTTTAAACGTTTCTTCGAGATATAAGGGACCAGAAGATGTGGAGAACCAAGATCGTCATTGTCCCGAAGTAACATGTGACGTAAATGATATAAAGAAAAAAAGAAAAAGATAAAATATTTTGCCTAAAAAGATTTATGAAAGTATTTAATCTCCTGAAATATCAGCTAATCTCCAAAGTATTTTAAAATAAATTGCGTTCTTAAAATAACACCACGCCATTGATTCTATCCTGAAGCAAACTATTGAAAAAAATGGGTTTATGAAAATTATTTCATCTCATAAATGATTTTCTTCATATTAATGCATGTATCCCCAAGGGTTTTATCCTTGGATCTACTTTGTTCGTAATTTTCATAAACGACCTTCATCATATCAGCAATTCTCGTCTCGGTATCTATTCTAATGACGCAACTATTTACTCCTGTTTTAAGTTAAATAGGCAACTGATCTCAAAAATGTCCTTCAATCTATTGATAATTGGAGTAAGAAATGATCTGCACTCTTTTAATCATCTGAGAGAACCATTTTTTTTTTACTTCCATCCACATGGCTGATGCTAACCTCCAGTCGAGTGACTATTTGAAAATTCTCGGGCTAACGTTTTAGCCTGACATTAAATTGTACAATTATATCGAATCAGTTTCTACGTCTGATGTTACAAAAAGTTGGTTCACTGTGTTGTGCTAGACAATGTTTCTTACCAGAATCTATTTTACATCTTTATAAATCTACTATTCGTTCATGAATTGAATATTGCTGCCACATTTAGTTTGGTGCTTATGCTATGTATTCTTGATAACATCCAAAGAGGAATCTGCAATGATATCGGTCCTGACCTGGCATCTCGGCTTTTGTCAATTTCATGTGCCTTTTCTATAAATATCTTCATGGTAATTGTTTTGATGGGCTTTCCTCTACTGTATGAATTTAAGCGCAATACTAGACTGACAGCTAGGTCTCATGATTTTAGAGTTGAAATTCTTAGATGTAACGATAAGTTGGTTGGTTGATTTTGTTTAACGGCATATCAACCTCTCTTGGTTACAATGCCAAAATCTATATATTTTTTGCACAATTTTATGCTTTTTGGGAAAAAATGTTTTGTTTTAAAGATTTTTTTCATGCTAATGCATTTATTAGATAATAAAATGTATTGTTGATAATTTTACTATATGAATGTAGTTTTATATTTTTTAATGTTGCTATTTTGCTATAAAAATTTATTGTTGCTAATTTTACTTTGAAAATGTACTGTTGATTTTTTGGGGGAGGGTCACTATTTGCCCATAACAGGAACCGTAACAGGTGCTATCACCCCGGGTCAGGTTCTATCTGGGAACAACAGAAATTAAGAGGTGGTTCCACGCTCCTCAAAACCTACAATCTCCCGATCAGATGCCTTACTGCCGAATGTATTTTATCGTCATACCCAGGACGCGTAACGATAAGTTCTATACCGAGTCCTTTTTTTTTCTCTGGCACTTCTTGCTTCTGGAACTCTATTCCGGCTTCTTGCTTTCTAGTCAAATTTGACCTTTAAAAATGTAAATGCAACGTCAATCGTTACCGCCTCTCTCCTTAAGCCCTTCTCTTTTATTGGCCTCTCTCCTTAATAATGTTTTTCCCAGATTCTTTCACACTCAGAAAATCCCTTAGTTACTTTATTGCCTTGCCTGGGTTGAAAAAAA